GTCTCATCACCAACATCTTCAGCACCATAATGATGATCACCTGTAGAAATTACAAGGAAACAACACAAAAGGAAAGGGAGTGAGAAACATCTCACTCTATCTCACAGGAATGCAAAGTGGCTAAACAAACACAAACAACACAAATAATAAGATATAAGATACACAGTTACACATCATCTTATTTAACTCATTCATAGCATAGTAAGCAAAACATATAAGATTATAATGCATATGCAATGGGCACGAACTACATATTACCATACATTTGGTGCCAATAAAAAATCACATGTCACACTTGTACATTGTCGTTAGCAACACACTAGAGTAGTCTAGAAGAACATACCAGATCACACCTTGTCTGGACTCTCACTCAAAGAACATACTATCAAGGTCTGATTGGGATACCTAAGCTGCACAAGATATATCTTATGCTCACGAGGGCAGGATTAAGACTTCTAAATTAAGATATCCCTAAGGTTGGATCCCAAGCTTTTACTCAAAGGATCTTTCTTTATAGTGTATTCCACATTGTACCCTTCAAAAAAATACTTTTATGCACATGATGAATGTCAAACAGACTATATGCATAACATTTCATATGATTTCATTAATTCACTGTGAACTGATCTCATCATAAAATCATCAACCATTGTCAATATTATAATTAACAATTCAACTATATCAATTAAATATTAGCAATCAATGGCATAAGGGATCACATCACTACAACTCATACATAGCTCACAAGCTTATCAATAACACACTCACATACTATTTTTCCATAACTTAATCTTCTACGATATCACATGGTCCAAACACCTTAGCTAGAGCTATATATATGCTATTAAGTTTATCTTAATTTTATTAGAAAGTTAAGATAATTATATCTCCAACTTCTATGTTGACCTCAAGAGCTAATTATGTCATCTACTATTTTAAATAAAAACAAAATTGCAACATTTCAGACTAAATCTAATAGCTTGACCTTTGCTGACTAATTTGATAATAACTTAAGTTTTAGATCTTCTTTTTAGGTGATTTTAACTGTATTTGAAAGCTAACATCCAAGGATAAACATTTTATGAAGATCACAAAAGCCAATTCAACCATCTACTCACTTAACCGAGCCATTCTTTTCCTTAAGCGAGATTAGCTCACTCAGAGTGTGCGTTGAGCGAGATTAGCTTACTTGGAGTGAGATAAAACTTGATCGAAGCGAGCATCACCCGAAACTCTCTGTTAGGCCTCGCTTGAGTGAGCCTGAATTTCCTTAAAGCAAGATAAATTTTCTTAAAGTGAGACTATGGTCTCTTGAAGTGGGATACAACGGTCCCAAACACGAAATTACATTGTTTATGGGTTTCTAACCTTTCTTACACCATTCTGTAACATCTCCAACACAAATTCAATCTATAAGAACTCTCTATAAGTTACGTTATACTTCTAAAAGACACAATTTACACATAGATACATACTCACGCCATCCCCACATACAACCACTAATGCATTCTCTTAGGATTTCCATATATAGGAACCCTTATGAGCACTAAAATAAACAATTACAAGCCAAAATCGAAAATTACCAACACCTTCATAGTAATTACATCAATTAAAACATATAAGGAGAAACAAAGAAGATAAAGACACATTTGAGGATAACCCTTTCATACATAAACATACCACACAGATAGGATTGGGCTCACTACCTAGCATACATTCCCACACCTAGACCGAGATTTCTCACTCCCCATATTGCATGAATAAGCACTACATGATGAGTACATGACTCTAGGGTGATTTCCTTCTTGCTCTTATTCTTCGAGCTTTGAAGCACAAATGCGTCCGTGAAAAAAAAATAAGGGAATGTAAAAATTGATTAGAAATCATAATCTTTCAAACCTTAATCTCCCTTTTAACTTCATAGTTAAAAGAATTAACTATTGTTACAAATCCTTTCTCTTTTAATAAAGTATTATAACCTTTTGATAGAATATATTATATTATATATCAAAACATATCAAATAATTAAATAAATATTAAACAACTCCTATTAATAAAAATAAAATACTAAAATTATTAATAAAATAATATTATATTTTATGAAAAAATGGGGTGTTACATTCGCTCATACCCACAAGAAATTCACTTGAAGCACCCAACAATTAGCTCAGAGTGATTGGAATTCAGTCAAAAAGGAGCTCGACATGTTTTGAGCGAGTAAGTTCTCAATCTGAACTATCAAAATTCGCTCTAAGTGCCCACATCAAGTGCTCAAAGCGAGATAGGTCAAAGACTACTCTTGAAATGGTCTCACTTGCTCACTTAAGTGATCCTGTGGACGTTTTAAGCGAGCAAGCCCAGAAAACCTGCATGAAACCAAAGGCAAACACAACAACTCTAGAACAGTATAACAACTCTAATTTCTCTCGCACAATATAATAATCCATGCATGCAACTCAAAATCCAACATATATTAGCATCATACAACTTAGAGTTGGAAAGAAAAATATATATTAAATATGCAACCCCGAAATGTTAAAAGATCATCGCTTCCTTCATCTTTCACCAAGAACAAAGAAAACCTAATTTCTACTTTCCAATCTCAACTTAAATGCCTATAAATTATGAGTCAATAGATTAAAATAAACATATACAACATGAAAGATCAAACAACAAGCTTCTCTTATCTCGAATCACTCAGAAATCAAGGTAAGAAGAAGAAAAACCCAAAGTCTCTAGGGTCGTTGTACGACTTTCTCCAACTCAGATTCTCAACTCTCAAGGCCTTGAATCACTACTCTTTACTCTACTCAGCTACGGAGAAAGGGTTTGATGCTCTCCAGAATTAGAAAAAGAAGAAGTTAATCTCCAACTCCAAAGTCCATCTTTTTAACTTCTCTCTAAGTTTCCTTAAGATATGAACTTATGAAGTTCATGTCTTAAGAAAAATCTTATATACCTTTTCCTAAACTTGGTCAACTTGAACTCAACTAAAACTACTTGATCAACAACAACTTAACTCTCCAGGATCTCATGACCCTTAGAACTTTAAAATGACAACAATTACAACAATTACAACAATTCAACAATTAACAAACATATATCATATAATTAATCAATAAAACTTAAAATCATTTAGTGTTATATATCACACATGTTAAAATACTAGTTATCTAAGTTAAAACGGTATAATTTTCAATGATGAAAATTAGGATATTATAGATAGTATATTACCTTTTATCATTAGGTTAACAAAGTTATTATATTTTAAGAAAATATAAAAAAATCAAATTATTACAATTATGGAAATGATATATACTCATATGAGTTAATAAACATAATTAAAATAATGTGAAAAATATATCAAACGTGAAACTAAAAAAATATTGTGAAATTGATTTTTTTTTTCAGTTTTTTAAAATTATTTTTATGCGATTTTCACCAAGTTTATAATATTTTTTTTTCTGAATTTCAGTTACATTTAATAGTTTCATATAAATGAATTTAATGAGATAAGTTTCAATTCTTGAATAAGTCAAACAAGGATTCAACATCATGTCTCAAAATTAAAAATCATTATTGTCTTAAAAGAATCAAAGCAATTCAAATTTAGGAGATAAAGGATTAAAATAAAAAAATTAAGAGATAGATGACCAAAATGAATCTAAAATATAATATAAAGAATAAAAATATAATTAAATATACAATATTTATTAAATAAATAATTAATAATCTTTGTTTCTTTTTAATTATCATTTATGAAAAGAGTTTTTTTATATAATTTATTTACTATTTTTAATGTTTAAGGAAATATTAATTTTTTTTTGTCAATTGTACCCTAACTTCTATCTAAATTTTAATTAATTTATATATTTACAAGTATGCACTTACTATTGAATCAAAATGGAAAAGTTATTCCCTCAGTCCATATTAACTACAGTTTTCACATTTGAAAATTTTTCAAAAATGATTATGTTCTCAATCTTCAATACAATATTATTTATTTATTTTCTCTTTAATTTGCTCTTTCATTAATTATTCAACTACTACTATTAAAAGTAATATTTTGTTTTTGAGAGAGTAAGGTTATTTTAATGAAATTGTATAAAAAATAATATATTTAATATTATTCTTAATCTATATGTAAAAATCTTAAATTACAATCTTTGTGAGATGGGGGAAGGATATTACAACAAGTATAGATTTAATTTATATATTTATAACAAGTATGCATTTATTGTGGAGTACAAAATCTTTGTGAGACGGGGAAGGATATTACAACAAGTATACATTTAATTTATATATTTACAACAAGTATGCATTTACTGTGGAGTACAAAAAATTGCATGTTTTGGTTTGTGAATTTTAAAAACCTTAAACGACATCTAAAAAAGAATTTAATGATCATACATTGGTACCATAAAATAATTTTATAGCATTGACTAATTAAAAATTATTATTAATATAATATTTAAGATAATTTTTAAAATGTTAATAAATATATTATATATAATTTATGATTAGATGATAATATAAAATTATTATTTTAAAACAAGAAACAAATGTAGTAATAATGGATGATTGGTACAGTTTAGGGAAAATTTCTTTAAATAAGACTTGAAATCTGAATATTATGTATGAAAAAGAGTCAAATTCATTGTATAATGAATATTTCTATTGTTTTAAAAAATAAATTGGTCTTATGAAATAATGTTGTCTTAGATTCTTTTTATACAGATCCTATTCTATATATAAATGTCAAATACTTAATTTTACTAATTTGATCCAATTTGATCCTGCAAATATTAATTCCGAGTTGCATGCATTGAATAAAAAAGAAAAAAAACTCAAAACATACCATTTCTTTTTTATTTTTTTTGGTAATGAAAACACATACCATTTAAAACAGTGAATTTGAAGATTTCATTTTAAATGTAAAAAAAAATATATATTTTTTAAAATGTTATAAATGTACTGTTGCTGACATATGAATCAAAGTATTCTGTCACTCCATTCAAATCCTTTGCTTCTTCTTTGTTTTCTTTTCCGATAAAACAAAAACAGGAAACAAAGGTTTTAGTTATTGGAAATGGCTAGGATGTCTTTCATCCGATACTTTCTCTTATTCCTTATTATTTCAGGTTTGCAAATTCATTATTTATTTTTTTGAGTGTAAACAAAATTATATTATCAACTAGTAATTAACAATTACAGATCTTAAAAATAATTATTATAAAAAATCAATAAACATATCGTATATGACAGCAAATTCTACTAAATGGCTTTGTAAAAAGAATATATTGTGAGTGTATTCTAATTTTTTTTAATTGTCTATACATATTTTGAAAACCTTTTTTTTTTTGTTATTTTAGTTGTTTCAATGAGAAGTGAAGGTGCTCCACCGAAAATATGTACAAAAGTGGTGCTATCGGATTCGTGTGAGTTTAAAAAGTGTGACCTGCGTTGCAAAGAGTTTTTCGATATCCGATTGCTGGTCTCTTCAGAATGCGTTCAGAAGGAGGTGGGTTCAGATATTCTACAATGTGTTTGTTTCTATCACTGTTAAACTACACATTATAATAACACATGTACCCTAAATTCTTGGTTAACATTATATGAATAAGATGGGGCTTGATTGTTTACTCAAGTTTGATCCAAATTTATGAAATCTTATATATAGTTTAATTAATTATTTTGTTTATGATTTGTTGTTTTTAACTTCATATTAGATATATACTTAAAAAGGTAATGAAATGTAATTTTATATTCATTAATTAGAATGACTTAAAAATTGAAATAAAGTATTATATTCATTTTGATAGGTGATATACCATGAAGAATTTTTTCATTTAATCTGGACTGTTGGATGTTTAAATTATGTCAGAAGTAATATATATATATAGTATATATTATATACTAACATCATTTAATCACATGTGCGGAAAAATTTTATAGCAAATATTTTAGTCATAAAGAAGTTAACGATCAGAAACGATGTCTGAAAAATTGATCAATCATAAATTTTATTTGATAAATGAATAAAATAAAATGGGAAAAATTGATAGAGATTATACACGTGAGTTGGGAATTTTCTCATTCTCTTTCAATTTGTTTTTCATTTTGCGTTTTTCCTTTTGTTTTAGGATGCAATCAAGATGTACTAATTTTAGTAGGTGGTAATTAGAAATCGTCAAAATGATATGACCAAGAAGACTTATTTTTAATGAAATTTGAATGGGACGGTATATCAATTGTATTTGCACAAATATTATAGAGGAAAAGGGTGAATTTATGGTTAGCAGTTAGCATCAACAAGACTTATTTTTCATGAAAATGCATGGACAAACTTGTTTTTGGACCGATGAAGATGCTTACCAAATGAATAAAACAAAAACCTTATTGTCATAAAGATGTTAAGCGTAAAATTGTTGTTAATAAGCACAAGGTTATTGGAAGCACCTGTCTATAATTCAATTTATTGTCTATAATTGTGCTACATTTAGATCCTTACTGCTATCATATCATTGTCCGTCGTGACGTTGTCGTGAGTCATGACACCATCGTGAATTCATTTCCATCATTGGAAGTGTGCCGCAGAAGAAGAAATCATTTGAGTTGCACCGCCGAAGAAGAAGAAAAAGAAGAGCACTTGTGTGTCGTGCCGCGTGCGTCCCTTCGACACAACTTTTCTTCTTTTCTTTTTCTTTGAAGTGTTTATTATCTTTTTTTTTTCTTTTTTTTTTTTTTTAAGTTTACGGTGTCCTATTTTCTGTTTCTTTTTCTTTTTTTAAGTTTCAAACATATTTAAAAATATGACAGTCTCTACCTTTAACAATTTATTTTTTATTTTCTTAATTATATAATTTTTTTCTTTATAAACACTACTAAAAATATGTCATTTATCCAAGGATTTTCATGCGAAAAAATATTTGTAGAAAATTATTGCAAAAATTCTTGCAAATATAAATCTCCAATAAATTATTGCAAATATTTTTATGATTTTAAATTTGCAGAAAATTCTTGCAAATTTTACTACAAAAATATTAATTATATAAATTTTTTGTTGCAAATAAAAATTTTTAAAAAAATTGCAGATTTTTTTTTATTTTCCTACAAATTTTTGTTTTAAATATAAATTTGCAAGTAATTTGTTTTTTTTGTGAGTAGTATTTCCTGCCAATTCTTTTTATTTATGATTATTTTTATTAATTTAAAAATTGAAAATATTTTTGACTCCTCCATAAAAGTAAACACATTTCTGTCTTCCTTCACTGTACTGATTACATTCACCTCCGCAACTGTATTTTTACTCATCACCGCCGCACAACACTTCTCAAGTAAGTCACCTCCGTATCCTCCGCACCTCCGTAAACGTAACCTCCGCACACTGCTCACTGTAACACTTCTCTCAGCTCCAAACCAGGCCGGACTCCTCCCTAGCTCCGCCAAGCGCCGCCGTACGCTCTGAAATCTTTCGTCGTATCTGCCCTCTCCGCTTCCGGCCTTCCGATCTGGTTTGTTCTATCTGTCCTTTGCTCTGAACTGTGAAATGTTGGATTTAGTTCCCTTGATGCTGATTTTGGTTACGTCGATCCTCTTATGAGGAATTTCAGAGCATAATTCATTTAAATCACTTTAAACAGAGGGCAGATTTTTGTACGCCTGTTTTCAATTCGCATTTCATTTCACCCCTAATTTATAGATCTTTTGATTGGGATCAATGACGAGTAAAGGGATCGTAATTTCAATTAGTCACGTGTAAAGGATCTAAGATCTGTGATTATTTACTATTTAAGAGCACTCGGATTGACTTAGATTTACGATCTTCGAGTCGTGGTTAGTTTGGTATCCTCACGAAAAATTGTGGTGAATTATTCAGGGAAGAGTTTGTGTGAAAAATTCCTTGCTGATTCTCACCCCTAATTTTAAGGGGGTGCCAAATTGACTCGTAGTAATGAACAGATAATGTGCTTTAATGATGTATCATGTTTATTATTTGGAAGTGGATCATTTTATTGTTTAATACTACTTACAGTCTAATACCTATGGCTAATTGTCAAGCTCTCTGACGTTTATTGTTATTCTTGTTTATCTTCTCCAGTCATACCAAATGGCCAACAGAGTTCAAATTCCTACCAACAGTTCAGCACTTATTGCCATGATTGCAGATGAGGTAAGAGTGGCAATGTCGTGTGTGCATTCTTCTTTTCCTAATTTTTCTCACCGTACAACACTTTATTTTTTGTGTGCTTTTGAATGTAGATTTGAAGTACCAACTCAATGAGAGAGAAGACAATGCTTGTAATCTGAAAAATGTAAGAGCAGATGTTGGTTGGAGGTAAGATGTTTGTTGGATATGTGTCTCGTTTATTGATTGCATACCTTATTTTAAACCACAGTTTTGTTTGTTAAGAGCTAGCTAAGATTTGATTCCTTCCGAGAACAATTCCATTCAACAACTTCTGAAGGTACATTAATTTACTCTTTCACTTTTGTAATATCATTCTCTCTTTCTGTTTTTAATTGGATGAATTGTGATGCAGGAAAGGACGGCGTTGATCCAACTTCTTGCGGAAAGAAAGTATCCTCTCGTGCTCCTTTTAGGATCTGAATCGAAAGCATTAAATTGAAATGCTAATGTTAATTGAACTAATGTTGTTTGAAAATTGAACAGTAAGATCATTGAAGTGAGTGGCGCGGAGCTGCAGAGGCTGATCTAAAGTGATATTAAGACATGAAGCAAAGTGTTGTACTCTGCTTGCTGCTGTGAGGGTGGAAACTGAGAAGGTGATCAATAGGTAGGAGTTGTGAGGGAATTCCCGAAGGTGTTTTGGATGAGGTGCTTGGGTTACTTCCTATTAGGGAGATTGAGTTTAGCATTGATCTAGTCCTTGGTGTAGGGATAATGTTGGTTGCTCCCTATAGGATGGCCCCAACAAAGTTGGTTGAACTGAAGTGTCGGGTGGAAGTGGTGAAGAGAAAGATTGACTACTTCTTCTATGTTGGTGTTGCCTAATCCTAGTGAGTCATTTGAGGTGTGTTGTGATGTTTCTCACCAAGGGTTGGGGTGTGTGTTGATGTAGAATAAGAGAGTAGTTACATATTCTTTAAGGCAATTGAAGAATCATGAGAGGAATTACCCTACTAATGACTTAGAGTTGGCAGCAGTTGTTTTTCCTTAAAGGTATGGATGCATTATTTTATAGTGCAGGGTTCAACGTCTTTGGTGATTACAAGAAGTCTGAAGTACTTGCTTGATGAAACGTGTGTACTTGAAAATAGAAACACCCTGTATATTTTGTATAATATTGTTTGAAGAATATAAGTGCCTGATTACAATTAAAACAGCAAACAATTGCAATCAAGAAACAAGGTTTCAATACAGAATTGAAAATGAGAAACTAATGATAACTGTCAATCACGACTCGATCACCGCTGTTGAAGCTCACACAACCTGAATCAATATCAGAAAGAAGTAAGAAGAATCGATACTGAAGAATCAGATTAGGAAGAATTATGCAGCAGAATTTTCAGAGAGAAACATACCACACACATGCCTTTCCCTAGTGCACGTAGGCCTGAAGAAATACATTCTCTCTCTTACTCCTCATGCTTTTCCTACGTCCATTTCCTTGCTGATCATTTGCCACGTGGTCTTGTGGTGTAACTAACTTTTTCTCCCCACTCCGCTCAGCATTTCGTAGGCTCACATTTTTTTTGCACGTTACAATACTCCCTCCTTTACAAACAACCTTGTCCTCATGGTTGAAGTCTGGGAATGACTCTTGTATCTCAGCTGTATCCTCCCAAGTAGCAGCAGCAACATCTAAGGCAAGCCGGCGAAGATTGTTGGTGGGCCAGCTGGGTCCAAGAGTGGTGGTGGTTCTCAGAGGAAGCCTTATGATAGGCCCCAATCATAGCAAAGGGGTCCTGTCACAAGGAAACCAATTGACACAGCTATGAGTGGGGGTCAGAGTGGAGTTGCTACTCTTAGATGTTACAGATGTGGTGGACCTCACTTCATTCGTGATTTCCCTCATATCGAGAGCAAGTGCTTTAGGTGTGGCCAGATGGGTCACATGTCGACTAGTTGTCCTGTAGGTGCCAGACAGACCAAGAGTGCCCCGAGGGGTGATAGATCTATTGCAGCTGGGAGGGTGTTTGCCTTGACCGGAGCCGCAGCTTCCACTTCATTTGATCTAGTGAAGGGGAAGGGTAAAACTACTGGTAAGGATGTGATGATATTATTTGACTCAGGTCCTCCCATTTATTTATTTCATATGCATGTGCTGAAAAGTTGGGTTTGCCTGTATGCAATCTGGGGTTGAGATTGCTTGTGTCTACACCCGCTTTGATTTTTGTTGTTGCCTCTAAGATGTGTGTGGGTTGTCCCTTGGAGATGTCTGATAGGAAGTATAAGCTGAACTTGATCTTTTTGCCTTTAGTGGATATTGACATACTCTTATGCATGGATTGGTTATCTGCCAATCACATTCTTATAGATTGTGCCAATATAGAGTTGGTTTATCCCTTAGGGAGAGGATAAATTATTGATTTCAGTTAGCCAAGCTAAAGTGATATTAAGACATGAAGCAAAGTGTTGTACTCTGCTTGCTGCTGTGAGGGTGGAAACTGAGAAGGTGATCAATAGGTAGGAGTTGTGAGGGAATTCCCGAAGGTGTTTTGGATGAGGTGCTTGGGTTACTTCCTATTAGGGAGATTGAGTTTAGCATTGATCTAGTCCTTGGTGTAGGGATAATGTTGGTTGCTCCCTATCCCTTAGGGAGAGGATAAATTATTGATTTCAGTTAGCCAAGCTAAAGTGATATTAAGACATGAAGCAAAGTGTTGTACTCTGCTTGCTGCTGTGAGGGTGGAAACTGAGAAGGTGATCAATAGGTAGGAGTTGTGAGGGAATTCCCGAAGGTGTTTTGGATGAGGTGCTTGGGTTACTTCCTATTAGGGAGATTGAGTTTAGCATTGATCTAGTCCTTGGTGTAGGGATAATGTTGGTTGCTCCCTATAGGATGGCCCCAACAAAGTTGGTTGAACTGAAGTTCCTACAAATTTTAATGAAAAATTCCTAGGAAAATCCTTAGATAATAGAAAAAATTCTAGTAGTGAAATATATTAATCTAACATTTTCGAACCAATAATTTTTTTTCCTAATAACTAACGTATTAAGCATCTTATTTTTTCTTTATATAATTAAGTATTATATAACTTTTTAAGAACTTTTAAAAATAGTGAAATATGTTAAGTTTTTTTTTAATTCAATCCTAAATAAATATAGTAATTCAACCTTTTTTTTCATTTTTTAATATTAATTTTACGAATCATGATTTTTTTTTTGAAGTATTCGTGTATTACTTTTGAAGTATTATTATTTTTTCTTTGCTTATGTAAGCATTATATAATTTTTTAATATAAGCTTTTAATAATTTTTAAAAATAGTGAATTACATTATTTTTTTTAAATTCAATCTCAATAAAATTGAGTTATTCAACCATTTTTTTTTAATTTTAATTCTATGAATGATTACTTTTTTATTTTGAAGTGTTAGTGTATTACTTTTGAAGATTATATAATTATTTTAGTATATTTTTTTAGTAATTTTTAAAAACAATGAAATACATTAATTCTTTTAAATTTAATATAAATAAAATTGAGTAATTCAACCATTCTTTATTATGTCAATTCAATTAATTTCTTTTTTTTAATTTCTTTCCCCCCTTCACTATTTTTTTTCTCATTTAATTTTTTTATTTTATTAGTGTTTGTTTTTAAACTATTGAAGAAAAAATGGCATCAAGAAAAGGAATTCAAGGAAGTGAACCGCCACAAAAATTGCATAAAACTGTTGCTAGAATGAAAACTGATGTGACATGAAAATATTGTGTTTCTATTGATAGGGATGCAAGAAAAGTCAGGAGCAAATTTTGTGAAGACATTCATAGGAGGGGTTTATCATTTGAAATATCATTTGGCAGGAACATCCAAAGATGTTGGAGCATGTAGATCGATTCTTGAAGATGTTAAGAAAGAAACGTTGGATAAAATTAAATATTCTAAAAAAAACTTGGTGATACTAAAGGAATAGGTAGTAGTTTTGTTGCCCAATCAAAAGGTGGTGATATTGGTAGTCAAAACCTTTTCAAGAGAAAAGTTGGTTCTCAAATAACAATCAACAAGATCTTTAAGAAGGATTTGAGAGAGGAAACATGTTAAGACATTGCTTTATTTTTTTTTCCACTTGAATGTTATCCTTTTTAATGCAGCCAACAGTGAAACATATAAGAAATTAAATGTTTGAATCAGTTGCTCGACATGGTCCAGGATTTGACCCACCATCCTACCATGAAATTAGGGTGAAATACTTAAAGTATCATGTTGAAATGACCAATCTTTCTTTAGATGATCATAAAACTTATTGGAAGAAATTTGGATGCACAATATTGATAGATGGATGGACTAATAGGAGGAGGAGGAATATATTAAAAAATTTAGTAAATAGTCCACTTGGAAATTTTTTTTGTCTATTAATGCATCCAAGATATGCAAGATAGCTAATAAAATTTTCAAGATGCTAGATGATATAGTTGAAGAGGTTAAGGAAGAAAATGTTTTCCATATTATCATAGACAATGCAACAAATTACAAGGCAACTGGGGAAATGTTTATGGCAAAAAGGACTAAGTTGTATTGGACACCTTATGCAACTCATTGCATTGACATAATGCTTGAGGATTTTGAGAAAAAGATACCATTTCATAGTGAAACAATTGCCAGTGGTAGAAGGATCACATCATACATCTATGGTAGAACAAGTTTTATTGCTTTATTGCATAAATTTACCAAGGGGGTGACTTGATTAGACCTGACTTGACTCATTTTGCTACTTCCTACTTAACCTTGGGATGCTTGAATGAGAATAAGGATCCATTAACTAAAATGTTCACATCTGAATAATTGACATCTAGTCAATTAGCAAAGACCAAGGATGAAAAGTTTATGGAGAATTTGGTTACAAATAAGGGATTTTGGAAAATTGTTCTGAATTGCATGAGAGGTGTTTTTCCCTTAGTTAAAGTGTTGCGCTTAATGGATTTAGATGAAAGGCCAACCATAGTTCATTTATGAAGAAATGAAATGAACTAAAGAAAAGATACAAGACTTTTAGAGGATATGAGAACAAATACTATTTGCTATGTGCTTCATTTTATAAATTATAGACTTTGGCTAAAAACTTTTTTTTTTCAATTGTAGCTACATTCCCTTATGGGAAATTATTGATCAAAGATGGGACAAACAATTACATAGGTTTTTGCATACTGCAGGCTACTACATTAAGCTCATACCGCATTATGCTCCTAATTTTAAGGTTGATTAGGAATTTAAGAAAGGATTCATTGATTGCATGGAAAAGATTGTTAGAGACTTTAAAATAATAGCAAATATTGATGACCAACTTGTGGGTTTCAAGAAAAATAAAAAAAGACCTTTTTGGTCATCCTATAACTCAACATGCTCTTAATACCAAAAGTCTAGTAGATTGGTGGGAATCTTATGGAGATAAACATCTAGAATTGTAACAATTTTCAATTTGGATTTTGAGTTTGAGTTTGAGTTTGACATGTAGTTCATCCGACTGCGAGCGTAACTAGAGTGTCTTTAAGATGGTAAAACTTCTAATTTAAAATGGTATATCCGTATATGTATAATGTATTTCAATTCCTTCTTCCTGTTATATGATAATTGATTTTTTATTTAAGTCCATACCAAGAAAAGGAATCGTTTGTTGCAAAAGACCATGAATGATGTAGTTTATGTCATGGCTAATTCCAAATTGAACAAGAAGCGAGTTAGGAAGGAAAAAAATGGTATTAAAGACCTTTTCTTATGATGATTATTGGATTGTGGAGGAAAATGATCAAATTTTATATTTGAATTCCTTGGATGAAGACATACTTAAAGTTGGATAAGATGTTGGAACCAATGGTGGTGTACTTGTGGACGATTTGGATATTCCTCCTATTGAAGAGGATGAATTAATTGGACTTGCAGTGGTGGGAGATGTTAATGCCATTAATAAGAATGAAGATAATATGGATGATGATTGTCAAGAAGAAATTTATGCTCTCCTAATTGACTAGAATGCAAGATTTCATATGAATTTATGAAGTGTTATGTTTTTAGTTATTAAGTCTTGTGACTTATTTCTAATTTCTATTAGGAGTTGTTTAACTTCTTTTTTATTTTTTATATTTTCCTATTTCAAATTTGGATATTATATTTTTAATAACTTATTATTATAACTATAAACTTGTTTATTAATATCATGATTTATAGATTTTTTTTATCTATGTAGTTTTCTTTCTACATGTATTGCATATAAGTTTAAGTAGAAATGTAGGATCTTATGATCTGATTTATGATTCTTAAGTTATGATGTTTCACTCTCTTTCCAATCCTAAGTAAAATCTCGATTTTAACAACATTGTCCTCGCCTCTTTCACTTTTCACATACACTTAAACTGTAGAAATGGTACATGACAATATTGTAAGTACGTGCAACTTTCTCGATAGTTTTTATTGAACTAGACGCACAATTTTTCTTCCAATACTTCCTTTCCTTTCACTCCTCCCTGTAGACACCCAATTTCGTCCGGGGGGCACACAAACAAAGAAATGGATTTCCGTTATGAAGGGAAGGAGCTTTCGAAGCAGGCAAACAACAAGACAGGACATCAGAAGGCCTAAAGGCCAAAAAAAAGGTGGTTTTAGTAGCCCGGAACGGGCCGTTCCAAAATCGGAACGGGCCGTTCTAAAGTCTGGAACGGGCCGTTCTGGATTTGGAACGGGCCGTTCCGAGACTCATAAAAAGGCATAAAATTGTAGGTTGGAACGGCCGTTCCAATCCCCATCAAAGGCCAAAATTTTGTACCCCAGAACGGCCCGTTCTGGTCCCCAGAACGGGCCGTTCCGTTTTCAGAACGGGCCGTTCTAGGGTACGAAATTTTCCCATAATGATTGGGCCAGAACGGGTCGTTCCGAATCTGGAACGGGCCGTTCTGGCCCCTTTTGGTTCCTATAAATTGAAGCTTCGGGCACAGTTCTCAGGGCGGCCAGAGAAATTTCGAATAAGACTCCTTTGAGCACGAAAATTCTCTATTTCTCTCCCTTCTATTATATTTTTTACTCTCTCTCCCCCTATTGTATTTCTTGAGATTTGTGAGACATACTGTAGTGTGAAAGGTCGCCATAACGCACCTTTTTCATATTTGAAGATTCAATAAAGCTTGTTCAAGAGGTATTTCAGCTAATCTTCTTCTCTTCCTTTTATTTCTTATCTTTATCTCTTTTTTTTGTTATAATAAACGTCATAATGTAGATATTTTAGGGTTAATCGCTTAATTTATATTTTAAGCATGATTTATATTTTAAGCATGTAAATAAATATTAATAAAGGGGATTCAATATTTAATTTATTAATTCTTATAATGTTAACTTCATCATAGGGTACCAATTGAGGGTGCTGTAGGGGTGCTTAATACCTTCCTTACACGTAATCGACCCCCGAACCCAATTCTGGTTATCAAGGCCATAGTTGGATCTTTAAAAAACCTTTTCTTTTTCCAATGTTTTGAGTAAAATATTGGTGGCGACTCCATGAACCTATTTTCAAAAACCATTAATTAAGGATTAGTCTGGTGTCCGGGCATCCCTTAATTAATGAGACTTTTAAAAGGATGTCTAAACCATACGTCGCGAGATCGAAAATTTTCGGGTTGCGACACTCCCAAAATCTTAATATTAAATTTAGTGTTATGGAAAAAACATTTTGAAACACTAATTTCACTTTTCTAGAGTACTTTTTGAAAAAGTAAAATTAATATTCCAAAAAATATTTTTGAAAATTATATTTTCTACATACTTCTGGAGAGTAATTTCTAGAACATTAAATTTAGTATTCTAGAAATTATTTTATGAAAGTATGTAAAATAATAAACTTCTGGAAAACATTTTTCAAAATACTAGATTTACTGTTTCTGAAAGAACTTTATAGAATTATGTAAAATAACACATTTCTAAAAAATACTTTTTTTTAAATTAATGTTCCATAACGTACTTTCCAGAATAATAAGCTTAATGTTCCAAAATATATTTTTTGGAAGTGTGTTTTACATAATTCTAGAAATTTCTTTCTATAACTATAAATTTAGTATTTCGGAAAATACTTTCCAAAAGTATGTTAAAAACACAATTTTGAAATACTTTAGGGAACACTAATTTTACTATTCTAGAAAATACTCTAAAATACTAAAATTATTTGATGTCACATTTTTTAGACATATAAATGGGGCAAAGTGCTCAAAGAAAAAATGCACTTTTGGCTCGATACCTTTGACATTGTCGAGAAAGTCACACATACTTATAATACTGTCAAAAACTAGCACAGTAAAACTAAAAGAGGAGAGAGAGAGAATAATAGTATGAAAACTGAAAGAGGATGGGAGAAAGTAGTAATGTAAAATTGAAAAAAAAATTACCTATTAAAATAGGTGGAGAGTTTTTATGTAAGGGGGTTTACATGAGAACCGGAAAGAAGAGGAAAGGAGGTGTAACACCCTAGGATTTTTTCTAATTAATAATAATAATTAATTAGGGAGATGAGGATGATTTTTTTTTTATATTGTGATTAATAATTTTTTATTTTATACATTTTAATATATTTAATTGGTTAGAGGAATATTAGAAATAATTAAGATAATAGGGGGTTTAGATAAATAAAAGCTATATATTAGAAGAGAAGGGAGAAAGGGAGAGATTATTATTCATTTTTCATCTCATGTTCTCTGACACTTGGGTGTTTTGAAGAGAACACATCTGGAGAACAAGGAGAAGGGATCACCAGAGAAGAGGAAAAATATTAGAGTCATACATTGCATCACTCCAGGTAAGGGGGAGTGAGAACACTCATTTCTGGGGATTGGGTGTATGGAAGAAGGGTAGAGGAATTGGCCCCCAATCCCATAAGTTTTCTGTTTAATGAAATGATGTGTGCGTTTGGTTGAGTAGATTCCGAATATGCACTAGTGGAAAAAAATCTTTTAAAATCGATTATTTTCAACTTTTAAAATTCGTTCCATAACCGATTTTAAAAGAGCCGATTTTAAAAGTTAGACTTTTAAAATCGATTAAATAACCGATTTTAAAAATTAAATTTTAAGATCGGTTGTTTTATAACCAATTTTAAAAGTCTTGGCTTTCTAAAAATTAAACTGGAACAGGCTGTTCTAGGTTGTTAAAAGGGCCTAAAATTGTAGTTTGGAACGGGCCATTCTAGCATATTTTGGCATGAGTTAAAACCAGTCCAGAACAGGCCATTCTGATTGCAAAACGGGCCATTCTCATTGCAGAACGGGCCGTTCCAGATTAAAAATTTACCCAAAATGAACCTACAACGAAATTAGAGACACGAGAAGAGCATGAGAAGACGAAAATGAAAATGACAAGAAATTTACCTTATGGGAGACTTTAGAAAATGAGAGCGCGAGAGAGTAAAAAAAGGAATGGAGGGAAAGATCAAAGAGAATGAGAATGGAGGGAAATATAAAATGTTTCTGACAATACTTTTAAAATCGGTTATTTAAGAGTGTTCACATTATTTACAAAATTGTCACCGCGTGACTTTTAAGATCAGTCACCTTTTAACCGATCTTAAAATCCCAATTTTAAAACTAATTTTTGCACTAGTGATGTAATTTATTTGATGATCAGATGCTTTATAGTAATTAATTAAGTGCTCTGTAGAAATGGGTTAGAACCCTAGAGCGATTGGCCCCCAATCCCATAAGTTTTCTGCTTGATGAGATGTTGTTTATGTTTGATGTAATTATCGAGTAGATTATGAATATGTGATTTATTTGATGATTAGATGTCTTAGAATAATTAATTAAGTGAGAACACTTGATTATTATTCATTTTTCATCTCATGTTCTCTAACGCCCGGGTGCTTTGAAGATAACACATATGGAGAAAAAAGAGAAGGGATCAGCAGAGAAGAAGAAGATTAGACTCGTATGTTGCATCACTCCAAGTAAGGGGAGTGAAAACATTCATTTTAGGGGATTGGGTGTATGGAAGAAGGATAAAGGGATTGGTCCCTAATCCCATAAGTTTTCTGTTTAATGAAATGATGTGTGTGTTTGATGTGATTGGTCAAGTAGATTTTGAATATGTAATTTATTTGATGATCATATGCTTTATATTAATTAATTAAGTGCTCTGTAGAAATGAGTTAGAACCCTAGAGGGATTGACCCCCAATCCCATAAGTTTTCTGTTTGATGAGATGTTGTTTACGCTTGATGTAATTGTCGAGTAGATTATGAATATGTAATGTATTTGATGATTAGATGTCTTAGAGTAATTAATTGAGTGTTCTTTAGAAAGGGGTTAGAACCCTAAGGGGAGAAATTTGATGAATTCAAGGGGGGTAAAAGTTGTAAACGCTAAAATTGGTGAATTTCTTGGATGTGGAATGAGCCCTAAGTGTTTGTAAATTGTATGATTGTTTGTAGTAATGTTTATTTTGAGAGATATTGTTTCGATGCTGGTGATTGGGTAATGGATCACGAGCGACACCAAGCTCGAGTACTTGATGCTAGGCATGTTGGCATCAGGCATGGAAATGACCACGTCGAGCGTGAGATGTTTTGGTGCTCTTTATCGTAGCTTAAAGCCAGGTGCGGCCCAGGGAAGCAGAGCACGAGAAAGAGTAGGTGTTCTCTATTGTAACTTAAAGTCGGGTGTGGGTTTTCAAACCCGGCGTGGATTGCCAGGAGGCTTATTATGATGGTTATGACTGTTTATATGATGATGAATGTATATACATACTTCATGAATGATGATTTCTATCTTGGTGGATGATAATTGATGTGAATGAGTATAGATGTTTATGAATAATGGATGATATGATGATCACGATATATTTATATAAAAGCATTGATGGATAATAATTGATATGAATGAGTATATATGTTTATGAACGATGGGTGATATGATGATCATGATGAAGTTATATAGAAGCATTTGTATGATTGTGACATGCATTATATTTGCATAATTTTGTGGTTCTAGTGAGAACCTATTTCTATGGTTCTGGTGGAAACCTGTTATTGTGATTCTGGTGGGAACCTATTGGTGTTCTGGTGGAAAAACTCCTATGTCATGTTGGTAGCCTAAGATTAACGCGTGACTTAGGTACCAACTGTATATTTTTTATGATGATGGTCGAGTATCCCATGCATTTAGATGTAGATACACATCGCATTGCATTTATGTGTGTGCATTGATGAATTGATATGATTTTGTCTATGATTACTATAGTTTAAAGTATAAGATGTTGTTATTATATTTTAAAGTATGAATTGTTATTATTATATTCGTTTATTGTGAAGGGATGGGATGCCGATGGTTGCGACCCATTCTATATAGAGTGAGATTATTCTCACTCCCTGTTTGTTGTTGGTGTGTTTTGTTTTGTATGTTTTGTAGATGAGGATCCTCAGTTTTGGGATGAGTAAGGAGAGGTCTAGGTGTGTGTGAAACTCTAATGTTAATGTGACATCGAGGATTTGGAGTAGTTTATGAATTTTATTACTTCTTTCCTATTTCAATATTTTTGAATTACAATTTGTTTATTACTACTCTTATTTATTTTTCCAATGACTAGATTATTCTATTTTTAAATTTCATATGAAGATGAGTTGAGATTTTTATGAGTTTCAACATATCTCTTGGGTGTAGATGAGTGTCACAAAAGGTATGTAAAAAAAATATTATATTATATATTGGGATGTAAAATTAAAAAATTAAAAATTAAAGATATTTTAATTTGTTTAAAAAAAAAAGAGCGATGTATAATTTCCACTAAAACATAGGCCTCAAGCAAAGAAATCCAGCCCATCATTGTTCCTACAAATACTAATAGGCAGATGATAAACACACCTCCACTCTCGTATAAATACACCCCCTTTTTTAAAAAAAATATATAAAATGTCTAAATTACCCTTTTAAAAAAAATAAAATTCCTAAATTTACACCTCCTTTTCCCGCACCCCCTTCCCCGCACCAGAACGGCACCAGAACGGGCCGTTCTGCAAGAAGAACGGCCCGTTCTGATTGTAGAACGCCCTGTTCTGCTTGCAGAACGGCCCGTTCTGCAAGTAGTACAGGTCGTTCTTCTTGCAGTACGGGCCGTACTGAAAGCAGAACAGGCCGTTCTGTTTTCAGAACGGATCGTTCTAGTGCCGTTCTGTTGCAGTACAGGCCATCGCATCACTTTTAAAATGGCTACCTTATGACTGATTTTAAAACTCCGATTTTAAAAGTCATTTTTGTACTAGTGTGTCTTTCCATAGAACAAGTAGGAGTCTTTCTCTTACAAGACCACTTGCTGACATTGTGCACCCCTCTTCTTTCTCTTTCTGGCACTCTCCTCTTCTTTTTTTTCCCGCACCTCACACGCCCCTCTTCTTTCTCTTTCTGGCACTCCTCTTCTTCTTCTTCTTACTGTTACGGAAAGTTCTTTCCGGAATTATATGAACAATAATTTTACTATTCCGGAAAGTATTTTCTGGAAATGTTTTGTTACATAATTACGGAAAGTCATTTCCATAATATTAAAGTTACTATTACGGAAAGTTCTTTCCGGAATTATATGAACAATAATTTTACTATTCCGGAAAGTATTTTCTGGAATGCTAATGACTGTAAAAGTACTTTTCGGAATGCTAATGACTGTAAAAGAACCTTTCTTATGCTGGTTATGGTGGGGCTAGTCCTTTTTTTCTATTCAGAATGACTGTAAAAGTATATTGCTTAATGACATTGAGCGGAAAGAGGCTTTGGGAAGAAGAGGGATATGGAGTGTGGGGTGCGGGGAAGGGAGGTGTAAATTTAGGAATTTCATTTTTTTTAAAAGGATAATTTAGACATTTTATATATATATTTTTTTAAAAAAGGAGGTGTATTTATACGAGAGTTGGAAGTGTGTTTATCATCTGCCATACTAATAGCATCAGCGTTACACATATACGCATATTCATTACTACTGCTCTTCGTGTACGCGTCGGGTTCATAATTCACTTGGGCGATAAATTGTCTTTGCAATTCATAGAGTTTCATATACCTAGATTAGTACCACTAAAGGGTTCGGAGCTTCATTTCTCACGCTTCAGAAAAAGTCAAAAAACACAAATCTTCAATTAACAAGGATTTTTTTTTTCCTTAGGAAAGAGACTGCTTATTTTTCAATAAAAAAAAATAAAAAAAAAAATAGAGATACTGAAGAGGGTATTAATTAGATAGTGTAAGAAATTTGAAAGTGAAATTTTGGGAGAAGTTTTTATTTATTATTTTTAAATTACGTGTATTTTTCACTGAAAACAAAATGTTCAAGTTTAATAAAATTATTATAAATGATAAATCTCTCCCTCTAAACATTTAACACAGTATCCAAGATATGAACCAAAGACCATTACAGTGAATAGTAAAAAAGAAAACTAAAGATATAAAATTAAATAAAAGAAAAGATAATGAAAGAGAAATGCTATACATTTCGACTTGAAACAGCTGAATAATCCTCCATGCAAATAATTAAAAGGTTGGGGGAAGGAAGAGGGTGGAGTAGTAGAAGAATGAGGAGTTAAGTTTGATCCAATTACAACTATATATTTTTGTAATTTTTTTAATTTTACCAAAAAAATTAAAAGGTTGAATTAAATGAATATTTTATATTCAAGTGTGTTGACAGGTGCCACTTTATAAGTGAATCAGCTGTTTTTACGACTAAATATTTTTGGAGGCTAAAACATTTTTTGGTTTGTAAATAAATATAAAGATAAAATAGTAAAAAAAAATATGTACACAAAAGAAAAGATATTTCCATTATTATATCTATAAATATCTCGACTTGACCAAGAAATGAAGTAAAAAATTGTTATCACGAGCCATTTGTCCTATATAAACTTATAAACCTTGTTGAAGTTTATATTTTTCCTATAGTATTAAAAGATTCAGGATTTCAAGTTCATTGGTTTCAAGGTTTTAGTTACCGGAGATAGCTAAGAAAGATGTCTTTCACTCAATATTTTGCCTTATTTCTCATTATTTCAGGTGTACAAATTTCCGGTATCTATGATTTTCATGATTTTATTTGTTAATTATGTGTTTTATAGTACTACTAACCAATAAAAAAATCATCTTTAAAATAACTTTTAAAATAGTTAATTTAAAATTTAATAAACTTAACCACATATATTACAATCTCTATTGAATGACTTCGTAAACAAAAATGATATTTTGCAAAACTTTTCAGCATTTGGTGTTTGCTAACTTAATTATTGTGGTTAATTTAGTTGTTTCAATGAGCAATGCCAATGAAGCAGTTGCATATAGGGTATGCATTCAGCAAGCACAACCGAGACACTGCGGCTACAATGAGTGTGCACTGCTTTGCGAAGATATGTTCAAACACTCACAACTAATCTCTGCTCAATGCGTAATTCAAAAGGGTTCAACAAAACAATGTATTTGTTTCTATCGTTGTTAATCTGTAATTACAACACCCATGTACTCAAAATTATATCAGTTAACATGATATAATCTATAAATAAGGTTGGGCTTGATATTATACTCGAGTTTGGTTAATTCTTTTAAGTCTTTTAGTTTAGTTTATTAATTAGTTTGTCTTTGATTAGATTATTCTTTATTCAATCTCACCTCAAATAATTTGTTTTTCTTTTGTTATTTTAGTATTTAGATGTCTTTACATTAAAAAAGTAAAATGGTAATGGATTTTAATTTTTATATTCATGAAAATTAACTAAAAATTAAATAAAGTATTTAATAATAACAATAATGTTTTTTTTTTCAAGAATAAGCCATGTTATAATAATTTTAAACAAATATAAAGAATAAAATTACAACTATGTTAATGATATATACACATTCCACCTATTAATAAATACAGTATTATGTTTAAAAAGTTTGGAATTTTTAAATTTAAATAATTATACCTAATTATAAATTTAGACTTATTTTTTCAGTTACACAAATAATCTTGTATAAATATTCAATTAATTAAGCTTAAATAACTTATTAATAACTCAATCAATTCACGCACTTAATAAAATTATAGAGTATATATGTTTATTTAAACAAAAAACAAGAAATACTTTTTTTTTATGAAAAAACCAATTATAAAAACTTATAAGATGTTTGGCTAATTATTTTTAGAAGCCATATTTCCATGCTTTTCTAGATAATCACATGTAATAAAGGAAGAAATTAAAGATCATGTTTGAAAACACAAGAAATAAGGATTTCAAATGAAAGAAACAAAATTTCAATCAATCCCAACTAAATACATGCATAAAACAAGTAAAGTTGTTGAAAAGAAGATGGGCAGAAGAGATATTTTTAGTGTGTTGACATCATGTTTTTGCTTTTATTTCCTGAAAATGTGCCAACATAATACCTGCAAGAAATAAGGAAAGTTATTGAAAAGAAGATATTGAGTAAGATATTTTTAGATGTCTTAGACAGTAAGAAAAATAAAATCTTAGTCTATAACTTATAATAGAAGCCATATTTCCATGCTTTTCTAGATAATCACATGTAATAAAGGAAGAAAAGATCATGTTTGAAAACACAAGAAATAAGGATTTCAAATGAAAGAAACAAAATTTCAATCAATCCCAATTAAATACATGCATAAAACAAGTAAAGTTGTTGAAAAGAAGATGGACAGAAGAGATATTTTTAGTGTGTTGACATCATGTTTTTGCTTTTATTTCCTGAAAATGTGCCAACATAATACCTGCAAGAAATAAGGAAAGTTGTTGAAAAGAAGATATTGAGTGAG